CTCCTTGTGAGACAATGAACGAATGATAACTACAGTCGTGGCAAGTGAAATCCAACACTTGGCATAAGGGACTGCACCATGCAGTCTGCAGCCCCTGCAGCCCTGCATACGTACAGTACATGTGTTCCATACAACTTTATCTGTTTCATGACAAAACTCGTAGATCTACTCATCACAGTCAAAGTTCAAAAGGTGCTGGCAAAAATGAATGGGGATTTGATACCAATACTCCTTATGTGTACCATGTTTGTGAACTGTGTGTATCTACGCTGTGACCTTTCGATCTGTTTGGGATGCATACAGCTCTACAGTACAAATTAGGTGCAGTGATTGGTGTCCATTTGTGGCGCTGTCCCCTATGGCAAGTGTCGGATTTCACTTGCCACAACTGTACTTACGTAACTACAAGTATGTGCTTTGAGTGCTGAGAGTATACGAGTTACAATGGTGGCAGCGGAAAAATAGTCGTCGGTTTTGTCCTCGGCTGGGAAGACGCCTCCGCAGGAGAGACAAGTTGCAGAGTCGACAAGTTCCAGAGAGTCTGATACCAGTTCCAGCTACTCGGGAGACCAGCCCACAGACTAAGTTCTAATTTACTAGTATTGATCATTCTATCCTTCGTCTCGTTTTCCATTCTTTACTTCTTGACTGATCGTTCGCTGAATCGCTGTGCATGAGTAACAGTTTTGTTTGGTGTAGAAAGGGCTACATTTTCACAAAAATATTTTGCGTGTAGCAATGGCTACATTTTCACAAAAAAATATTTTGCGCACGTGAGTGCATGTCAAACGTTGAGTTTTTTTAGAATTTTTTTCTGCAATCCCATATGGAATCCTCTTCCAATTATGTTTCTGAAGTTTTTTTGTCCAAAAAGCAAGCCATAGCAAGAATAGGATTTCGGCCAGGTTTTGCCCCAAAAGCACTGAATTGGGAAAAACCATCAAAATCCAGGCCGTTTGACCCCCGCCTGCAACAGTGCAGTCTGCGGTTCGAACCCCAGTTCAGGCACCCTTTTTGGACCCTTTTTCAAATTTCAAAGTTCGCAGCACTGCACTGTGTACGATGAAATCACGAAAAATCGCCAAATACGGGAGCTCGCCAGAGCCAGAACCCATCTTTTTATGAATGGACTGTAGTGTGCGTGGCAGGGAGTCGTAAAATATTTTACGACTCCCTGGTGCGTGGCATACTAAGCATACTAAGCATTGTACACTGTTGACGTCATGTCCTGTGTATGTGCACGTGAACGTCCGTGTGACGTAACCAGAATGTTTTGTGTAGCTACGTAGGTCAATTTTTTTGTAACATTTTTCAAAAGTTTTTTTGAACTACAAAAATAAAATGTTTGTAGCTTGGGCCATTTTGATAGTGAGATATCGAGATGGGCAAGTCCAAAGGCAGAAAGAAGACCAGGTCCCCTCGACCTCGTCCGTTCAAGATACCGTCTGACGAACATGCCAGTGCATCAGAGTTGCACCAGTCTAATGACACCGGAGTGCGTGATCAACTAGCTCAGGCGCTCGAGAAACTTGATCGCAGGTTGACAGACCTCGAAAAGAGACTCAGCTGTTTGGAAATTGTTGCTCCACGAACACAGGTTCCTGCAGGAGCAAGTTTCGAATTTGATCAGCCTCATAGTAGTAGCAGTGGTCGTGGACATTCGTATGGTCGTGGTGGTCAGGTGGAACCACCGTTGTGTTGTGGTTGTGGACAACCTGGCCATTTTGCTCTAGATTGCCCACACAACCCTTGGCGCTCGGGAAACTGAGTACGACTGGTGGTGTGGGACAACTCCCAGTCGTTCACGAGGAGCCAGCAGATGCAGTACGTATCGAGGCTGTATCGTCTGTAGTCCCTACGCTAGATATCCATGTTCAAGGCAAGTGTGTAACGGCGTTAATTGACTCTGGTTCCTGTGTTTCTATGTTGCATGAGCAAACATTTTTGTCCACGTATGGTGATGTGCCCTTGCAAGCTGCTTCCCGTTTGTGTGCGGCTAATGGTGAGGGACTCCTGGTTCTGGGTGCTATGGATATTGTATGCTGCATTGGAGAGCGTTCATTCTTGCATACATTTGTAGTGTCTCCTGATATCCGCCGTGATATGATATTGGGATCTGATTTCTTGTTTGACCATGGAGCATTATTGAACATTGCTCAAGGCACACTAACTTTTAATGATCTGTCAGTCCTGCTAGGCGTGAAAGCTACTAGTGTTGGTCCATCAGAGCCCCGTCCGGTTGTTGCGGCGGACGCTGAACCGCTATCTGACTCTTGGAGTAATGATAGTAATTCTGAGGAAGACCCGGGCACGTACTATTCCCGTGTCGCTGTTTGTAGTAAATTAACTCTGCCTGCCGGCCATGTCGTGCTGGTCCCGTGCAAGTCGGTGCAAGAGGCATCTGTGACTGTGGATTGTGTTTCTGTTCCACTGGACTCATTCTTGTTCAAGTTTCCAGATGTGTCTGTGACCCCCAGTGTGGTTACGGTTGGACCTGGCAGGTCCTGTGCGGTAGTTGTGTTGGAGAATCACTCTGACTACCCAGTACAAATTGCTAGAGATGTTGATATTGCAGAATTATCTCCTGTACCCGATAACTTGACTGGAGAGGATGATGATCCTGCTGATTCATCTGTTGCGGATATGCAACCGTTTGTGCTATTCCCTGAACGTGCCGAGATAATCCGTACGTATGTTGAGTCTCGGAATCATCTGGCAGTACCTGAAAAGAACAGACTTACAGAGCTTCTCCGTGAGAATCATGACTTGTTTCTCTTGCAGGAGGGTGATTATGGTCCTTATGATGTTTTGCCATAATATAGTAGTAGTACTGGGGATATACAGCCAGGTAAGCAGCCTACGCGCGCTTTGCAAGCTTTGCTGGATGATCTGTTGTCCCGTGGTATACTCACCGAGTCCATTAGACCCTGGGCGTCGCCCATAGTTCTCGTTCCCATGAAGGACGGATCTCTCCGGTTATGTATCGACTACCGCAAGTTGAACAGCATTGCGGAGCCAGATGCGTATCCTATCCCACGTGTTGATGACATATTGGACTCACTCTCTGGCTGTCCATGGTTCACTTGCCTGGATTTAGCGTCAGGATATTGGCAGGTTCCTAAGCACGAGGACGATACGGCAAAGACTGCCGTTACGACACCGTCGGGTTTGTGTGATTTCTGGGTTATGTCTGGCTGTAGAAATGGTCCAGCGACGTTCCACCGTGTAATGGAAGCGGTGCTTCATGGTTTATGTAGTGTGCCTAACCAACCAATCTGTCAAGTGTTTTTCAACAGTGTATTGAATGCCAGCTCTACCTTCACTGGACAGCTCCAGATCCTGCAGTCTGTATTTGGCCGGGTTCGGGCTGCTGGACTAAAGGTTAACTTGGAAAAATGTTCTTTTTTTCCAACGGAAGGTGCTCTTCCTTGGCCATGAAGTTTCGGCTGAAGGTTTGGCTCCGGATCCCACCAGGGTTGAGGCTATTGTGAAGTGGGCCGTACCCCAGTCTGTACGAGGTGTACAGGTGTTTCTGGAGTACGCCGGGTTTTACCGCAGCTTCATCCGTGGTTTTGCTCAGCGCTCTGCTCCACTGAATGTATTAGCAGGCAAGGGTGCCAGCTTTACATGGACTAAGAGTAGTGATGCGGCGTTGACGTCTATGAAGCGGTCACTGACCACAGCCTCCGTGTTGGCGTATCCCGACTTTTCTGTTTCGTCTGGCGGCTTTATTTTGGACACTGACGCAAGCAAGGTGGCCATTGGAGCTGTCCTCAGTCAAATGCAAGATGGCGAGGAACGCCCCATTGCGTTCGGCAGCCGGGTATTGGCGAAGGCAGAGAGGAATTATGATGCGTCAGACCGGGAAACGCTTGCCCTTGTCCATTTCGCGAATCAGTTCCGGCACTATTTGCTTGGTCGGAATTTCATTGCCCGCACAGATAACACTGCCCTCACCGCACTGATGTCCGTGAAGGAACCACGCGGTCGAAAAGCTCGATGGGTGGAGCAACTCGCTGAGTATACCTTCACTACTGTTCACCGACCGGGTCGGCAGCACTTGAATGAAGATGGTCTGTCGCGTTCCTTGTTGCCGGAGGTGCAACCCTCCCATCTCGAGACTCCCACAAATCAGCCAGAGCAAGCTAGTTCCTCTGCCACAACGGCGTCTGTGGATGTCACCACACCTGTACTTGCTGGTCTCTCCGCAACTGAGTTGGCTGCTGCCAAGGCTGTGAATGTCGACCTCTCAGTGGTCAGTGTGCCCAGGTACAATGCGGTGAGTGGAAAATTTGTTCGCCCTCCCGAAGGTTTCTGGCACTAGTCGTACTTCTCGGCTAATGCAGTTGGATCAGAAGGAACATTCGGTTCGCGTCTGATGCGTCACGGTGCTTACTCTGCAAGCCCTCGACCATGACTCTACTTGTTGTCCGCTGTCGTCAGAGCCCATCTCGCTCGCAATCCTGGACTGCCTGCTCGGTTTACTGATTTTGCTATGTCCTGAGTTTTTATTTTTTTATGTTTCTGTTTTCTTTCTCTATTCACGAGGGCGTGAATTTTCGGTAGGAGGAGGATAGTGTAGCATGGCTACTTTATGACACGTAATTTGTATACACATAAATAGTACACCGTAGGAATGCATGGATAGGCTGTGCGCATACTCGCACTGCCTTGTCTTCTTCTTCTCCTTGTGAGACAATGAACGAGTGATAACTACTTACGTAACTACAAGTATGTGCTTTGAGTGCTGAGAGTATACGAGTTACAATGGCATGGTTATGCGAATGATGTCATGGTGGTGAGTCTGCGGAATTGCCTATGGGCACTATGTGCAGAGCGCGAGTCAGTCACGGCTACATTGTATTCATACAGCCTCGTGAGTCTCTAGCACAACACCGCCGTGTGTGTGTGCCGCGACCTTGCCACAGCATCTCGACTGATGATGTAACCGCATAACCTCCATAGCGGTGAAGGCCACAACACATCAAGAACACAAAGAATCGATTCTATTCAAATCTTTACTTCCTGGGGCATGTCACATGACAGCCCTAACTGAGAGGAGCGTGTACTTAGTCTTTTGAAAATCGAGTCAGACCGGCCGACTGCTGTGGTTGTGCAGTGCCGGGGTCCGGCTTGAATACAATGAATGCTATAGAGATTGCACATAATTAAAAAAACTGCAAAATGCCGGAGCAGGCGAAAAACTTGAAAAACGGCAAACTAAGAGCGCAGGAAGCAGAAGCTGAATTGCAACTTCCGGGTGAGGAAGTGGGGGGGGGGGGGGCACACTCCAAATAAAGGAAAAATATCAAGAGTCGAACAAGGTCGGACCCCAGTTCAAGAATATTCACATAGGTTGTGGGAGACGCAGCGACACTAGCGAAGCAGTGCATGGACAGCGGTTTGATCAAATCAAAATCTGTCCTTGATATGCATGCACAGACGAGGTGTCTGTGCGTCCTGCCGGACGTATTTGCATGTACAGTCATGTATGCATGTGTGTGTCAGCGCGTGTGTGCACATCGGCATGTGTGTGTGTCAGCGCATGTGTGCACATCGGCATGTGTGTGTCAGCGCATGTGTGCACATCGGCATGTGTGTGTCAGCGCATGTGTGCACATCGGCATGTGTGTGTGTGTGTGTGTGTGCGTGCGTGTGTATGTATGTATATGTGTGTGTGTGTATGTGTGTGTGTATGTGTGCGTGTGTATGTGTGTGTGTGTGTGTGTGTGTGTGTGTGTGTTTGTCAATGTATGTAGTTGTGATACATTGCTACTTCTAAAGCACTGCTAAATCTAAAGGAAAACTTGGGGAAATGATAAATCAAACAAATATGCAAAACGGGTGTGGAAAAACCCACTAAAGTTGTATGAAGGAAATCAAAAGTGCTACGCTGCATGATAATTATGTGTAGTTCATGCAAAGAATTTCAAGAGAATATTTTACCAATAATTCAATAAGTGGCAGGAAAGATAAAAAATTCCTATAAAACGATCATTCAATCCACTTGGCATCCATTACGAACCAAATCTGAACATGCAGAACAAAGAAATGAATGACAAACCTGACGCAGGTCATGATTCCGTGTGACTATTGTCCATGTCCAAAGTGCAACCTGCACACTACTTTGAGCAAGCACTCCACTGCGCAAGGCACTGGACAGAGATAGGCGTTGGCCGGCACGGACAGCACAAGGCAAACCTACGCGGAGCATCAGGTTTAGTCGGACGCCTTGCCGGCTCGAGACGACCGGATCGTGAGCTTAACCGTCAATGAACTGTGCACGCCTAAGAGGGCGTGCAAAAAACAAACATAAACAGACAGAAGAATACCCATGGTGAACAGGTAGATTAAAATCTGTCAAGGCGGCCACTCGGATAAGCCAACCACCATCCTACTGTCGTGGACATGGAAATCCGGTCGCACGTCTAGCGGTCCCAGGGCGCTGGCCATGCAGCCGTCGATAAGCAGTACACACATGCATTTATGCGCTGCAGGGCGCTGGTCGATTAGGATCAACATGTGCATGGCACACAGCGTTCTGTACGCGCTGAGGGCGCCGGCCCCGGTCAATTGACTGGATTTCCATGTCCGCAACAGTAGAAGACCGCTGCAACCAGGATCGACCCAGGAATGCTATTTCCAGTCAAACGACCCTTGATGAGGCGACCAGCTGGCAACAGAGACCACATTTTGAAGGTCTCTTGAGCGGTCATCTTAGACCGGTTTCTCTGTGCTATCTCATACAGAAAAAGATACCGAGCGGCAGATCCTGCCAAGTTCTGTCTTTAGCATTATCGAACTTCCGGCAGTATCGCTGCATTCACAATCATGTTCACAAGTACATGTACATTGCTGCATGGGTATATTCATAATCATGTACCTGTACAAGCACATGTACACTGCTGTATGGGTATATTCATATCATGTACCTGTACAAGCACATGTACACTGCTGTATGGGTATATTCATATCATGTACCTGTACAAGCACATGTACACTGCTGTATGGGCATATTCATATCATGTACCTGTACAAGCACATGTACATTGCTGTATGGGCATATTCACATGTGCTAGTAAACATTGCACTACACAGTATTGCATGTATTGTAGCACCCTGCAGTGTCTGTGTGTTTCCAAATGCAGTTTGCAGTTCCCTTCGACTGTACTGTACACATTCACACTGTATGTATTCACCCCCCCCCCCCCCAACACTGTTTGCAGACATCATGATTAGTGTTGTGCACGGGTAGTCGGGTACCCGTGCTACCCGTGAGGACCTCGGGTAGACGGGTACAGAATAATACCCGAGACCCGAAGTCGCAGATGACATGAAGTGCAGTAAAAAAGTATCGTGTCCGTTCACGAAGGGAACTCACGACGGCCGCCAACACCCGGTAAACCCTCTAGCGGCAGATGCAGCTCCTAACGGTGGGGGTGAGTGGATAAGTCTCACAGCCACTGGCACAAGTGCCGATAAACCCCACTACTGCCAATAAGCATTAGCCGCATCCATGTATCCCTTGTGCCTGGCCAAAAGTTCCCAGTTGACTGTGGGTAGCAACACGGCTGGATAAACCGCTCCCAGGCAGGACTTGTACCAGGTATCTCAATCATGGTCTTTGACCAACCCACTGTGCCTGCCATTAAGTACAGTGCACGTGTACAAATTCATGTAATACTCCGCATGTCTACCCAGTATGTAAGGGAAGGGGTGCATTGTGGTGTTACCGTGGAAACATTACCCGATCGGGTACCCGTGCTACCCGTGGAAAACTATCCGAACCCGATACCCGAAGAAAATGCTACCCGACTCAGCCCTAATCATAATTATTGTGGAGCTTTCCGGAGCTCTAATGGGCCATTCGCACAACACCCAAAACGTGGCGTACGTGACGTCTTTGTCCGAATAGCCATGACAACATGGAACGTGGCGGGGAAAAACCGGTCAATCGAACACCTGGTACAGAAACATAGACGACGAGATTAGGACCCCGGTACCGAGATTCCGTTCTGCTGTTCCCGGCAGTTTGTTAAAAAAAAAAACGGTACGCACAGCTGTAGGAAAAGCGTGTATGCGCCTTTGTGAATGTACATGCACTTGCATGAAAACAATGTTTGACAGTACGTGGAATTCCAAAACGTGACACGTATTGTAATGTAGTATGAACAGCCTAAACGGGATTACCGATTGTTTCATAAAATGAAACATTTCGCTCATATTTTGCTTTTGTTTGCTTGTGCATGGGTGTGTGACCATGCACGTGCATGTATGTATGCAGAAATATGCTGTGCTTGTGTTCATGTGTGAGGGCAATGTCAGTCGATAACCAGTCGATAGTCAGTCGATAGGATTGAATCGAATCGATAAGTAAATTGGGTCAGTCGTTTCACCCCTAGTTTCGGTATTTTCCACCAAAGCCTTTCGGCAGGGAAAGCCATCTCAACACAATATTGATTTAAACTTTCGGAAAACAGGAGCATCTGGGCACTCTCCACATGCATTGAAAAATTATTTCCAAAATGAGACTTCTCAAACCCACCCACCCACCTCCAAACGAAAACGTTTTGTTTTGAAAAGCAAAACGACTCGTAACTTTGGATGTCGGCCTCTAAGTTATGAGTTAGTTTTTTGTTGTTGCAGTGATCCATTCATGAAAGAAACGGGGGTTTGCCAACTGACAACCACTCTATTCAGTTGCTATTCACAATCTAAAAATGTGAAAAATTCTGTAGCATGATGTCATTGTGACTGTGACTGCACACCCGCTGCATTAAAAATTCCTTTATTGTCATGTTCAAAATCAGTATTGACTTTTGGGCCATTCACCCATCGTCCGAACAGGTTCGATGGGTGACTGGCCCGAAACGTCAATAATTTTCGACATCACCATAAAAGCACTTTTCAAAGCAGCGCATGTGCAGACTAGCAACTGAATAGAGCAGTTGTCAGTTGACAAACCCCCAAGGTTTCTTTCATAGTCCAGTTGCGTGATGTCCACAACATTCTCAGTGAGCACTGCATATAACTTATGACAGAAACACTACACTGGTACTGCGTGCAGGATGATAATCTATGTACTTGAAGCCGAAGTACAGTAAGATCGGGCGCCGAAGAACACCTCGCCGAAGAACACCTCGCCGAAGAACACCCAGGCTGGAAAACCGGCAAAATTTAAGAACAGTCCAGGCTAGAATTATCAGATTTAAGAACACTAGATCTACATTGTACGTAGATCTACATTGTACATGTATGGGAGGTGAGTACATGTCATGTACACGTGTAAACAGTAACTGCTACATGTACAGTCATTCCCATTTACGACACCCACTAGTTTAGAAGTACTACATTGCACTACATGTACATGTACCGGTACATGCACATGACAAACGTCATGATGTCACTCGACTCGCCGCGCGCGTGTGAATAAGAACGGTCTGGCTAGAATCAAAAATTTATGAACTTTCCTAGGCTGCGCTCGAGCCCCTGCTTTCTTCGGCGCCCGATCTTACTGTAGGTATAGTGCATTAGATCTAGCTTCACCACATGCGCTCTCTGGCCTTGCGCATTCACACTACGAACACCATTCACACCAATCACACCATTCACACCATCAACCCTCCTATTACTACAGTATCAGGTACAGCACAGCTCGATTACATCCGGTCGTCGGGATGGTACTATTCATTATGCACCAGTGCATTCAGTGCTGCTCAATCAAATTCGATTGCGTGAGTCGAGTTTGCGTCCAGCACCAGTTCACATTCCAGTGTTTGCAGGCCTAGGGCTGCGCAGTGCCAGGCACATACTTGCTTCAGACGATCGGATTTCAAACAGCAGCAGTGTAGTAATGCCAGATAGAATACTAACAGTCGCAATAATACCGTGCTACAGAAAATTTCACATTTTTAGCGGACATGGTTGCCCATGTTACCCATGCTACAGTCACCGGCCTCCAGCCATTTATTCATATTGCTGGCTCCTCTGGGGTCATCATGCATTCACCATCCTGTCCCCCACCTCCCCTCCCCCCCCCATTCCAGCTGCTATTGGCTCCTCCGTGTTATCAAGCATTCAGCACCCTTCCCCCTTCCCCCTCCCCCCCCCCCCCCCCATTCCAGCTGCCGGTACTGGCTTCACCGTGTCATCATGCATTCAGCTCCCTGCCCACCTTCCTCTCCCCCATGCCCCCTCCATCCTGCTCCCTCTCCCTGCCCCTCCCACCACTCCAGCTGGTACTGGCTCCTCTGTGTCATCATGCACTCAGCACCCTACACCCTTCCCCAGGGCTCCCCTCACCTGCCCCTTCCCAAGCCTGCCCCTGCCCCCCCCCACCCCATGCCCCTCCCATTCCATCTGGTGCTGCTTCCTCTGGGGTCATCATGCATTCTGTGCCCTACCACCTACCCCCTGCCCTAACCCTTCCACTGGTCAAATACTCCACCGGTGTCCGCATGTGTCACACTCACTCAATAATCTGTGCCACTCTCATGACGACTTCCTCCTGAGTGAATGCTGCCAAGATGCACAGAAGCTCCTTGCAGCTGATCGCCTTCTTCTTGACGATGTAGAAGAGCTGACCGGCCACATTGTTGGTATCCGCTAGGCCGTGTCGGTTCTCCTGGATGTAAGTGGTCATGATGCTCTCGAAGTTGTTGACAAACTCACCGGCTGCCATTACCAGCTGCTTGGCCAGTTTCCCTGTAATCCAGAATCAGAACAAGAAAACA